TTAATAATTTCAATTTTTAGATTTGTTTTAAGCCCAAATGGATATTTCACAACATATACAGGTGTTTTGACGGAAGGAGATAACACTTAAATTTTTCCCAATTGAATAGCTCTTGTGAATTCAACAGGATGTGGTAAAAAAATTTAGCCATTTTTTTTCATTCAGCCCTTCATCCACAATCTTTCTTGAACTTCCTTTACCCTTGCAGTTAAGTTTGATATCTTAAAAGTAATTTAATAGTAGTCTTATAGAAGTATCATATATTTTAGAGCAGTTTAAAAGCTTATATTTTAAAACTGAAAATAGAATAGTAACAGCCCTATAATGCCTATTAGAACCAAAAAACTCTTAAAACAAAAATAAAAGATGGGAGTGGGAGAGGGATAAGAAAGAAAGATGACCCTCAGAATCCTTTGTTTGGAATTAAAACTGTAAAGAGCATATTAATTAAAATGTAATATTAACAGTCTGAATCTTGATTATACGTGCAGTACCTAACAGTAACTAAATAATCCTTAAATAATCTTTCGGTACAGTTTTTACAAAAACAGTTATGTCAAAATCACGATTACTATACTTATTATACTGCCTATTAAATGGTAAAAGAAACAAACAAACAAATAAAAAAAAAAAAAACCCAGCATAACAAAAAAACCTACAGAATAAATAAGCTGGTAGGATTAAAATGCCTGCCTACTAGTTCATCTTTAACAGGTTTACTTGTTAACTTAATGAGATTACCTTGATAAAGCAAGAATAACTACATGTATGTCTGTACAGTGAAATACATGCCAACCATGCCACAGTGGGATGTGGGAGTAGGGGATGGTGCAGATGTGGAAGGACTTTTATTTTTTTATACCTTTCTACATTATTTGAAATTTTTTCAACAAGCAGGGCACTATTCTTATAGTTATTCAAAAATGCATTGTTAAAAAAGAACAAAGTAACTGCCAGGAACTTGAAAAATATGAAACGAACCTCCAGAATTCCTATACTTCCTTCCTTCTCTTACTGTAGGAAGGACCACCTTGACCTAAACCTGACAAATGGATGCTTAATTTTAAATAGAGTATTATATTGATTATAGAGCATATGAAATGACTGTTTTAAAAGTAACTAATAAACCTAAAGAAAAACTTTGGCTAAATAACATTTTTCAACTGATATCACATATCCATTGAGCAGTAAATAGAGCACTGAACTCAGAGCCCAGAGATGTGAGTTACTTACACTAACTAGCAGTGTGATTCACGGTAAGCCACTTAAACTCCTCATCTCTACTCAATGGCAGTATGGGACTGTGGTTTAGAGTACAGGCTTTAGTCTCAGAACTTCCTGAGTTCAAATCCTAGTACCACTGTTTTCTTCCCTGTTACACTAGACAAGCAAAAAGTAGACTCAAAATGCACTGGCCAAACTTTAAACATACCCCCAAATCTCTAGAGCTATGTGAACTGATTAACTCAAAATTTAATTTTGAGTCCACCGAACCAAATGCTTAACAAAACATCCTGGGTCATGTGCCAAGAAGAATGCCCACATCTAATTTTCCTATCACTATTACATTCATGGAAGTATTTTCTTCAGTCAGTGCTATGGCCTGAAATGTCTGTGTGCCCCATAAATTCATGTGTTGAAACCTTAAAAAAGAGGCCCCAGAGAGCTGCCTTGGCCCATCCACCAAGTGAAGACAGAGCAAGAACGTGCCATCTATGAGGAAATGGACCCTCACCAGACACTAAATCTACCTGAGCCTTTATCTTGGACTTCTAAGCCTCCAAAATACAAGAAATAAATTTCTTTTTACAAGCTACCCAGCTTAAGATATTTTGTTACAGCAGCCCAAATGGACTGAGACAGTCAACATCATTGTTTAGGTGACTTGATGGGTGGTGATTATTTAATTCAAGCAGTCAACATTTGATAGAAAAACAAAATCTTTTTTTTAATGAAACAAGAAACGCTTTTTATTTTGTAATAACACCTTAATAATATGAACCTAAGATGTCACAGTCAAAAATATAAAATATTGTCATAATGACAAAAATGAATGTAATGCTATTCATGCTGTTAATCTAAAAAATACATGTTGTTTTAAAAAATGAGGTTGAGTTGGCTGGCTGGTTAGCTCAGTTGGTTAGAGCTCAGTGTTATAGCACCAAGGTCAAGGGTTTAATTCCTACACCAGCCAGTGCAAAAAAAAGGGGGGACATTGCCAAGCACAGGAGTACTCTTACAAAGATAATTTAAAAAGTAATGATTCTTTATTTTACTTCATGCTTTTCAACATTATATCATCATCATCCATAAATTATGAAATCTATTATTATATAACTGTCCTTACATGAGTTTTAAGCCAAAATTCAATTTTCTATGTCACCTATCAAAGGTGAGCTGAGCACTTCTAGAACAATTGTCTATATATCACTTCAGCAAACAAAAACTCCATGGACTACCCAATCCTGCTGTTGTCAAAGCAAACACATACAAACTGCAAGAGGCTTTCCCAGGGGCAAATAATTTTTACAGCTGCTATAAAAATGTTCAGGTTACTCTTTTTTTTTTTTTTTACAGTGAATATTTAACCTCACAGGGACAAATATATCCTTAAAAGCATATATTTTGGGTAACAGATTTAAGATCAGCATAACTTCTAAAGATCCCTCATAGAACATTTTAGTTCTAGAGTCTGTTTTAGAGAGAAAAGTACTTCCGCATAGGGTTTTTTTAATCCCAGATTCTCTTTGAGTTTTACAATAACTTTAAAAAATGATACTTGTAGACATTACAATGAAAAACAATTTATATAGGAAAAAGTTTGCCATATCCTGATGTCCTTTACAGAACAATGCATATCATGTATTAATTATATATACTCCTTTGATTTCCTACGGAATTACAGTACATTCAAATGTGAATTAAGGCTAGGTTTATAAGTAGGGTTTACTTTTATCATTAAAGGCATGTGCTTTTAAATTTCTCCAGGGTAAAATAATTCAAATAACGTGTTTTAAAAAGAAATTTTATGTTACAGTTACCAGAACACTTTAGGGATACGCCTTGAAGATCTGTGTGTTCACATCATCTACTGAACTAACTTTTCCCTGTGTTTGCAACACTTGGTATTTTACCTTTATTTTATTATTTTATTATTTATTTATTTATTTGGTGGTTGGCCAGTACAGGGATCCGAGCCCTTGACCTTGGTGTTATAACACCATGCTCTAATCAGCTGAGCTAACCAGCCAACTCTACCTTTATTTAAAATTTGCTCATCTTAAATAAAATATAACAAGACAGACTAACTAACCTAATTTTTCACTGATCATATCATTAGAAAATTATTCCTTACATAGCATTAAGTGTTTTGCTGCTCTTCATCAACCACACAGAAGGCTATGATGGCAATTCTGCATTTATTCCTTCCTTGGAAACCGAGTACAGTGCCTGCCATTCTGTGAAGTGAGCGGTGTTCTAAATGGCATCCAACCTGTACCTTCATCTTGGCAAGGAAAGAGTCTACTGAAGATCAGAAGACAGTTCAGTTTTGAAAGTTGATTCTGTTTTTGAGTCTTCAGATTGCAAGGACAAATTAAGGTAGAGCTTTCACTACCACTTATACATCATCATCTTGTACTTTGTATAAGAGGAGCACTAGAGGAGAATCCCCTATTTATTTCTAGTCTAGTTACTTTCATAGCCATTGGTTTCAATGGTTATGTCTGCTACTCTATCACTATGCTGAGTTTCCAAGGTAGGAAGTCTGCAAATACCTCTATATGCCTAGGAAAATGACTGCAGATAGCTGCACCTTTCTTGTTAAACCTGCCCAATAGAACTGTGTACTTAAGAAGGGAAATCTGTTATCAGTAATAAGCCATTCCTAAATAAAGTCAACATACCTTGAAAACACTGGGTTGATTTCCATGGATTTCAGTTAATCATATTTTACATGCCAGTGAATAAGATGAATCATTAGGATCAGCTTTAGTGACATTTTTATAAAAAATGTTTACAGAAGACTATTTAGGACCTTTGTTGAGCTAAGTTCAAACTAATGCCTTACCAATAAGAAACATTACTCTACCATTTCCATTCCCACCACAAAGATTCCATAAGCTCCCTGTTTTTCTTTAAGTCTAACTATTTTTTTTCCTAAGTATTTACACTAAAAGGCATTTTTAAAAAATGCTTCCTTGGCCACTGCCATTTCCTATTAGCTTTCAGTGTGTTACTTAAAGGATTTTGCTCATTCTATTTTATTCTACTGAATTGCAAAGTCAGCTGTAGGAAAGTATTATTTTCTTGAAAGCAATTTATATTTTTACCATCTTTTTTTACTTTCAGCAGTATTTCAGCTTAATAAAGGAGCTTAATCCCATTCAATATATCTTTCTAAAAGTCAGAAAAATATTTTAGACTAAATGCTAAAGTTTTCAACTCCATATATAGTTTCATTTCCTCTACAAGACCCTAACATATTATATGTCCATAAAGTCACAGACTCCATTCATTGTAAATGTTACTTCTAATGCAATTAATTGATACTGTTAAGAAAACTGCTTGGTTTGTCTATTTATAAACAGTAACGTTTATTGCAAAATTAGAAAATGGCTTTCATAAAATTTCTGTCCTCATTAAAAAATAGAAAAAGATTCTAATTCCTGCGGATGTGCACTTTCACTGTGAGCTTTGGCTTTTGGTCAAAGGACTATCTAGAATGCAACACTGGGGCAAACTCTTCAGGAATCTCATCCTAAGTGACAACATTAAGTGTTCACTGAGGAATTAATAAAGCATTCCTATATCACTTAATTGCAAAAAAAACCCTTGATAATGGTGTTTTTGTTTTTTGTAAAACGTAGAGAATTCCAGATTCTGCTAAATGAACCAGAGGGTTTTTTTTTTCCTAGAAATATTTTTTGATTCAATTCACCTCCATCTCAAAAATATGTTATTAACATTCATGATGATAAAACAATTCATATTTAAATAAATAAAACTTACCACTTGGAGAATGTCTTCATCTTTTGGCATAACACTAAGTTCCAATGTCGTATCACTGAAATTGAAAATATACATACTATTTTAGGGGAGACAGAAGTGTATAAAGAAGACTTAAAGGAAAAATAGTTAACTCTCAAGTATTTTTAAAATTAAGAGTTTAATTTCAGTTTTCTTAAATTTTTACTTTTCAAAATCAAATCATTAAAATGAAAAGTCACTTTTATATATATAAGTTAAATATGTACAAAAGACGGCACCCTGCCACATGTTTGTACTATTCATAATCAGTCAAGTCTTCTTTATAATGTCTCTAACTTAGAAACAAAAAGTATGTTATACTTCTATTAAATACTCCCAGAACAAAATTCATAACAATATCAGCATACGATTATTTATTGTTTTATTCAAGTTAAAAAACAAAGTACAGATTTCTATCACATATTGTTTATCAAGTTAATTAACAAAAAGCAACCAAAGAAACCTCAAAGTCAACATTTTAAGCAATATTAAACATCCTAATTTTGAAATATTCCCTCCTGTCCTCAAAGGTGAAAGAAATCAGTTCACCATACAAATATTGAAATGAGTCATTTAAAAAAATTATATAGCATCTGAACTGTTTATTTTCTTCTCTATGATTTAATTTTAGAGCCTTTACTGGAATAGCTCAAAGTCTTACTCTATTTTGGCACTGTACATTTCCTGTTTAAAATGATAGAGAAGTTTCTCTAGGTTTAAAAAAGTTCAAAGGAATAAATTAAACTGAATCCTATGATCTGGAATTACATTTATATATAGCAAGGATAGTGGTGCTAATCTCCACCAAGTGCTTCAATAAGTTAATCTAACAATATCAAATAGATTTTCCCCCCAATACAATAAAAATATTAAAAAGCAATCAAACAGTAACCGAAAAACAACAAAATCTAATAATTTACTGGTGTCTCTTTTCAACAGATTTGAATCATTACTTGCAGGTTCATATATGCTGAGAGAATGGTAAATTAATGAGAACCACAGGTTCAAATAAATGTAGCTAGTAAAATATGTAGGTACTTGTACTTCAATATTTAGAGTTGGTAGAAAATACATACTGATGTTTAGATAAATTCTTCTGCAAGGATACATTTTTACATTAATACACTGCAGAATCTCAATGGCTTTGTGCTGCATTATCCATTTGCTACCAACTGCAGATAAAAGGAACACAGTTTTTTAAAAGAAAATAAGATCATGAAAAAGCAGTATTTCTCTAACTTTCAAATAGCTTTTATTGGTTGAAAAATTAAAACTGTCATTTCAAAAGTGTTATTACTCTGAAAAATGAACTGCACCAGTAATAGAAGAATTAATGTGGATTTTGAAGGAAACAAAGATTAAGCTGTGGTTACTTGGAAAAATAATATTTTTAAAGAAGAGACATTAACAAATACATGAAAAATCCTTAAATTATAGGCTGACAATATATTGGCATATTTATGATGATCTAAATTATTCTGAGAAAAAGAAAATTTGGGTAGATCTCCCGCTGGCTCTTGGAGAGGCTTTAAATTCATCACCACCATTAGAAGCAAAATTTAAGAGTTGTTTTCTCTAAGAATTTTATTAAATATTAAAAAATTAAAGAGACTACTTTGAGATTAATTAATCACGGTCACATCATTTAACTGTAAAAAATGACAATGTATTAGGGCATTAGTGTAAATAATTTAAATTATAGCATAAACTGCTTTAGGTATGGTTAGAGGTGCTTAATAAAAATCTTCAAAAAATAAAAAACTTTAACTGAATAATAGACAGGTGCATGTGGCTTACAGAAACTATCAGGTAATCCAAAAGTTACTGTCGTTGAATTTGGAAAGAACCTCTTACAATAGAGTAATGGTCTGGAAATCAGACCCAAATTTATGGCTCAGTCTTGACAGAAATTCAACATTGTAAGCCTTTTAGGCTTTTGATTTCTTTATTTGTAATTTTAAAATTTTTTCTAGGTTTGTTGAGTGAAAAAAGAGAATAGGACTAAATTATCTTCGAGATGCCATAGATAGTCACTCTATGAATATGTATTTACCTTTACAGCTCAAAATTCTATCATTCTGTAGAATGTAGGCAGACAAATGGATTAAATGGGAATGTCTCGCTCTCTTAATTAAAACAAATGAATGAATTTAGGCCAAGAAGATTATTCAATAAGATACTTAAAAGTAACATATCTTAGTAAAAGGTTTTCAAATAAACTATGTACGCATTTATCTATATATTTATTATAAACAAATTATACATTTGTCACTTCAAATAAAAGAGTGAAACTTAACAGTAAATCTAAAATGTGTGCCTCTCAGACTCTAAAGAATTTTAATCACAACTCTGATAAATTTGCCAAAGCAAAGCCACCAACTAAACTATCCTCAGGTAATTGGTTCTTGGAACCTCTCAAACACATTATCCACTGTAAGGGGAAAGTTCCACATCTCCACATCACCCCAATTCCTTACAGAAATATAGGATTCTATTGAATCTACTTGCTCTATTGATTTATAAAACCCATCTTTGGCCAAAATTAATCATGTTTCGAGAATCTTACCTGTTCTGAATTAAAGCAATTACTTGGGAATAGGTCTTTCCAATAACACTTTCTCCATTCACTTTTATAATTCGGTCACCTTCAAAGAGGAGTAAAAAAACACATGAGGAAGTCATAAAGAAAGTCACTTTTAAATACTTTTGAAATATTTCTTGAGTGGTGTCCTTATGTTTAATATCTACTTGTTATTATTTTTTAAAGTACCTTTTTAAAAAATAAAGTAAATTTTGATATATCCAGCTTCTTATGAAATACTGCCACACTCTAAATAAGTTTCCGTCACTAATAAATTTAGAAACCTCAATAGGTATAGTCACCAGATGATCATAGCTATATTATTTGCTATTGAGTCCTAGAATTACTGGTTATTCCTCCATTTACCCTGTCATTTCTGAGAGAGAACATTATTCAACAGGCTTAAAATATTGATTGCTTCTATTTCCTCAGTGTGCTCTAATTTTAGCCTAGCTGATTTTCTTGCAGTATTCTCTCAATCTATTTGGTTTACTGATTAGTCTGTACTATAAAACTTAAATATGGGTATACACATACTTTTGACATTATACATATTAACTTGTTTTTCATTTTAATGGGGAAATGAACATTGGATTATTCAGAAAAACTCATAGTAGAAAGCGGGAAAAAAGAGAAAGAACAGGAGAGAGAGGACAGAAAGGAAAATTGAAAAAAAATGTACTTTTTGAGTGCTTATGACAGCATCTCCACCCCGTCTTTCCAATCTTGTGAGGTTTAGAATATGATGGATAATACATTCTATGTAATGGAATCCAATATGTATGCTAATCTACATATTATACATATTAACGATATTGAAATCAGGCTTACTTTAAGTATAATGAAAAAGATCATTAATTATGGTAGGTAATACATTAACAGTATATCCTAATAAATCTTAACAATGATACTCACTACTTACAATATTTGTAGCTGAAAATACATTTTATTCAAAGCCACCCTTTTTGTGTCAAGTTAACTCACCTCGGACAGATCAGGGACTTCCAGAACTTGGAGATCCAAGAAGAGTATTTCAATTATGCTGAATAAATACCTTCATCATTTTGCTATTTTGTAATCCTTTGTCAAAATTTAACAAATGCGAAATAAGTACTTTAAAAGAACTTCCAAAAGTCTGTTCATTTGTGTGGTAACTAAATGTGCCCACAATTTGTCAATTTATGTTGTTATTTCCATGCAAACTCATCCATTTAGGTATCAAGAAACATGTAAATAACAAGGTATCAAACATAGTAATAACAGACGTGGAGAAAAAGGGAGATGCATACAGACAGAAAAAATAAGGAATACTAAATGTGGAGGAAGGAAGAAATGAAGTGAAAACGAAATTAAAAGGTATTGTTTAAAGAATATCAGCACCTGTGCACAATCCAGCTTCAAAAGCAGGTCCTCCTTCTTTAACTTGTTTAACAAATATGGTATCCATTGGTTCCAAGCGGTTTCTTTGTTTTCCTGTGGGAGAGAAAAAGCCCAAGGCATGATTTTACTTCACAATATTTTATTAAAATACCAAAATATAAAATAATATTTAATTGAACCAGCTGAGCAAAGATTTTAATGAAGGGTTAAACATATATCCTGAATTTAGATGCTGAAATCACAATGTAGAGGTTCTTATCAATTCAAACATTTATTTTGCTTCTTCCATAACACAACAACATGCACAGCACTGTAATGGTTTCCATTTACTGGGTACGTTCTGTATTGTCAGTTACTACCCTAACTACCATACATATCTTAGAGCTAATTTTCATAGCAAGCATTACTACCACCATTGCAAAAAAAAAGGAAACTTAGGCTTAGATTAAATAAGTTATCCAAGGTCACATAGCTAAAACTTATTTCACTGGTCGTGCTCACTCTTCCACTTTTTAATTCTGTATTGTACTAGGCATTTAGATATAAGGATGAATAAGATTCCTTTTCCTTCAGGGACTCTGGTAGGGGAAAGACATACAAATAATGACAATATGGTATAAAAAGCAATCAGAGACAAATACAATACAGCCAGGACTGTTTATACTGTACTGTCATGTATTTGTACATCATGAGTAGACATGATCAACTCTGCAAGTCAATACTTCACAAATTGTCCATGGATCATCTGCATTAACATCTAAGGTGCTTGCTAAAAATGAATGTTTTGGAGAAAGACCAGAAATCTGCCTTATCAGCAAGTTAAGTTACCAGGTGATCCTAAATATGCACTTAACTTGGAGAACAACTAACAGTTTCAGTAAAATAGATGTCAAGGAAAGAGTCACAGATAAGAGGACATTTAAGCTAGGTGATAAATACAACAATAAGTACTGTGGGGAGACAAAAAGGTAAACAGTAGTTCTCAAAGTGTGGTCCCCAGAGCAGCAGCATCAGTAGCACCTAGGAATGTGTTAGAAATGCAAATTTGTGGACCCCACCCCAGATCTACCAAATCTGTGGTGATTGTGATGCACTCAAGTTTGAGAACGACTGAAGTACAAGACACAGTCCTGACTTTTAAAGCAGAATATTACTGAGAAAATAAGGCATACACATGTGTGGAATAATATACTAATACTCATTAAATAGCAATACCGGGCAGAAAACAATTGAGTGTAAAATATAAAGAATTCATATTATTGCCACATAAAATTGAGTTTTTATAATGGTGTATGTACAAAGGCAACTCAAAAGAAGTTTACTAATAATGGCATATCTACACGTACCTGCCTTTACAGACTTACCTATTTACTCTCAAAGAAGCCCTCTAAAGCAATGAATGGATAACTCAATTACTTAAAAAGCAATAGGCTATAGTGGAAATTGCTTGTTTTAGAAGCCTGTAGACATGGGTTTGAATCCTTGCTTTGCCACTTGACATTTTCTGTATGTTTCAGGCTTTACTTTTCTTCATAGAACTTATTAGTTACTACCTAAAATTACATTCTCATTTGCTTACATATTAGTTGTATGTCTCTCCCAGTAACATGAAGAGCAGGAATTTGGTCATGCACACTGATATCCACAGCACCTAGCACTGTGCCTGGCACAGAGCAGGCATTCAATAAATAATTATTCAATGAATGAAGACATTTATTATTTTGTTTAATTTAGACAAGCCTTCAAGATGGCCATTATGATCCTAAAATTGCCACATGTCTAAGGAGGAAACAGACTAGGTAACTTGCAAAGAGGCAGAACAGGGATTTGAATCCAGATCTGAATTCAAAGTAGTACTCCATGCTGCTTCAAGTCTAATTGAAAAGAACTCATTTCTCACATTTTATTTAATATAGGTAGACAGTCCATTTACAATTAATTAATTAATTAACCCCCTCCAATTCAATAAAAATTTATTTTGTCTCACTTATGGCAAAATACTCTGTGACTTCCATTTATAATTAATTTAAAAGGAAGAAATGTTTCTTTTCAATTTAAGTCACTTAAACTGTAAACACTAAATTCCAATCAAATTGGTTATTGGACTAGATCCCTCTGTGGCCAACCCAACATTCACAATAGTTGGCATTAAAGGAAAACTACTTTCTTGGCTAGAGATTTGAGCCAATATGTTTGGTTGTATCAAATCATTTTTTCTTATTAATGCCTTCTAGTCTACTGTGTCTCAAAAGTGATTATACTGTACTTATATTTTAAAATATGAAATTTAAATGACTATTAATGAATTCTACAAAATAATAAAAAGTTGGCTGGGTAACAATGCAGTGACTTCTGACAATTCTGATAGGAAATTTGACTTATACAAAACAGAGGTAGTCCAAAATAATTTGGAGTTAATTTCTATAAAGGAAATATTAATTTTGTAATGACTGTTGTTGTCAAGTCAGAGATACTTTGCCACTAACAAATATTTCAATACATTATGCCTGAAAACATGTGAAGATGGAATAGAGGCCAATCCTATAGCAAGCACTACCATATCTCCTGAGAGTTGTACTTTTGATTCTTGTTCACTTTCTTTTCTGGAACTTCTCCAAAATTCTGACTTGCTATTATTACCTATATACTACCCAATTCCTTCTAGACAACAGAAAAATTTCCCATAAGTATCCCTTTAATATAGGCAGGCTTCACTAAGAAATATACTTCTCCTCAGATGACATATTCTTCACTCTAACTCTTGAGCTAAAAACATTTGCCCAATAATTTTAAGTTTGTCTTCTTTTTAATGTATGTACTCTGCAATTCTGCTGGAACCAGAAATCAAAAGTATCAAATATAAAATATGTGTCATTCAATCTCTTGGGTCTTTAGTTTTTGTAAGTAAATTTCTAGATTTGCAAAACTAAAAGCCTGATCCAGAATTGTGATAATTCACCAGGAAAAGTGATTCCTTACTTCCCTGTATGATCATTTAACAGAGCCAGAAGGCTTCCCTGGCAATTCTTAGTAAAAACCCCTTTCAATTCCATATCTGTATTTTATAATTACTCTATTTTTTGAAAACATATAGGATATAGTTTCAAAGAACTGCTAAATGCCTTATTCAGGTATCATTTCCTTGACCTTATCAAAAGAAAAGGAAAATATGTCTTTTTAGCACACACATGTAATCAAATCTTTGTTATTTGCAGAAAAGGAAGTAAAATGGCAATAATCTTACATGATGAGAAAGTCTAAAGTGATCAGGTACAGAAAAAGTCCCATTTTATGTTAGTTAATATATAATTAGTGCAGACTTAAACAAGAAGACATAAAGCATATATGAATTTACTTGAAGTTGAATATTACACATGAAATCAGAAAGGATGCACCTACTTTTACATTACAGTAAATATGATCACTTGGAGAAAATATAACTTGAGTAAAAAAATTAATAACATATAGGTAGTAGTTACTAAATCCTGAATATCCAGGTGGATGTAATTTTTATTCTCTGTATCCAATATAATGCAGTAGTTAAGACCTTGGGCCCTACTGAGATAGGAGGTGTTCAGTTTCCATGGGTTTGGGTTATAAGACAGAACTCTGGGTTTCAAGCCACTCCCCAAGGTCTCAAACTCCTCCTCTAAGCCCTCCCCTAGAGGAGAGTTACTGTTGCTTATTGCTCCTATTTTCATAGAAAAATGGAAAATTGATACCCCAAGGGGCAGGCTTATGCAAATCTAGTGTCTGGGCACGCTCAGTAAAAAGGGGTTATATAACCCTAGTTGCCAAGCATGCTCAGTAAAGTGGAATTTATCCTTTGAATGACCTTCCATTAGAGATGCTAAAGAGCACAGAATATTCTTGAATATGTTTGGTGCATGTGATAGAATTTGACAAATGATCATGCCCTTAAAGGAGACCACTGAGCATGTCAAGACTATGTTACATAACGGGAACCAGCCCCTTAGTTGAATATTCATTACGTAGCATGAATGTATATTAGAGAGCAAAACCATGAAAGTGAAATCCTGACAGAAGGTGGTGGTGTTGCTCATTTTCCTGGGGCCAATCCGCACTTTGGAGGCTATGGTATGTATGCTTTCTCTTTGTATCAAACTTATTTTCAGCATTTGGAAGTTACATTTTTTTCTATATTTTGTGTGAAATATTTCATAACGATTATTTTTTGTTGTAGGAAACAGGCTTCTAATTTTCTTTTGGGGATTTGATTTACTAATGTAATACAAAATTATCTTAAGAACCTGAGACATATTGTCTAACACTGAAAAATCCGTATATAGATGATAAACACATCTTATATGATAGATAAGTAAGTGGAATCCAATTTAAGAAAACTAGTATGGCAGATTACTAGTGCCTTTTGTTTTGGTAAGGGCAGAAGCTCTAAGTAAAGAGAAATGTGCCAGCTTATCAAATCTAGGAATTCCCCAAATTTTACTCAAGATATCTCATTTCCAGAGTAATAGCTACTACTTTAAAAATCACATCTCTCAAGTCTCCAACCTGCAGATACAACAACTATCATTAGCTCTAGACCCCAAATTCCAATAATCTCTGGATATTTTCAGTATATTATCATGTTAGGTCTCAATCACATCTATTTTAAACAAAAACATTACCTCTCTGTACTCAACCTGATATTCAATTAATATCAAATGAAATAAAATAAGAACATCTGTTAAATATAAAAAAATCAGACCATGTTCTAAATTAATCATGCTAAACTTTCTTCCAACCCACACCCATCTAATTTTTTTTAACTTTTTGTGGAAAATGTCCAGCATGCATGAAAGTAGAGAAGACAATAGAATAAAGCCTCATGAACCAACTTAAATAATTACAAAAAATCTGTTAATCTTGTTTCATTTAAATCCATCCACTTTTTTTTCTAAAACATTTTAAAGCAAATCCCAGATATCATGACAATTCATTCATAAATACTTCAGTATGCATCACTAACAGATAAGAACTTCACCTTTTCTTAAACGAAAGACAACAAAATCCTTCACTGGTTCTCCACAGTATGCAGTATTCCGTACAATGTGGGTTTCTAACATAA